GGGGTTTCACCATGTTGGCCAGGCTGGTCTTGAACTCCTGACCTCAAGTTATCCACCTGCCTTGGCCTCCCAAATCCCCTTGGGATTATAGGTGTGAACCACCTCACCTGGTCCTCATGTGAACTATTTTAACGGTGTCAACGTGCAGGAAAAAAGGAACACTCATTCCTTCACACACACAGGGGTGGAGGAACAGTTCTGGAAGTCCATCTTGTGTGACAGACCCGCTGTCTCTCAGCTCTGCGTTGAGTGCTCCGTGGGTGCGGCAGGACAGCTGGGCCAGCACAGCACGTTCCCGCAAGCTCCCCAGCCCGCACTCCGCTGCCTGGGTGTGAGGCTCGACCACCACCAGAACTTGATTTATCAGTGTTATTTCCACCCTTACTAAAGTAGGAAACCAGACTCCGTCAGCCCTATTAAGTCTGATTCAGAAAACAGAGGGCCTTTAAAACCCTTTGTCCCTTGAAGTCAGAAAGGGCGAGAGTGCTGGCGACCTGAGGGTTGCTCCGGCTGGCTTGGAATCGGACTGACTTGCATTTCCTTCACGAATCAGAATTTTGAAGGCAAGGATAAAATAAATCTCAAATAATCACCTTGCATTTCTGATGAGTTCAATGAGTGTGTTTTATGCCCTGGTTGTCTGAGCTTGCTTTTCCACATGCAGTGAGTGCTGGACAAAGACTTCCCAAGGAGGTCTAGATTTGTCGTGCTTTGTTTTTGCATCCTGTCTGATAATCAGACCTTTGCACACATCTGTTTGGGATTGAGTCTTCCTAGGAAGTCAGAGATTTGGCCAAGGCTGGGCAAAATTAAGGAATAATAGTAGTAATAGTAATAGAAACAGTAACAGCCTCCGTTTGATGGAGGGTGGCTGCCAGGTGCCTGCCGTGCAGTGCTGGGCTCCGAGATGTTAGGCTGGTCCTCAGAGCCTTGGGTCTTGTCTTGTCCTTTGCAAGCCTTGCTTGACTTTCTATTTCAATTTTTTTTTTTTTTTTTTTTTTTAAGAATGAAGACACAGGGTCTCACTCTGTTGCCCAGACTGGAACGCAGTCGTATGATCATAGCTCCCTGCAGCCTCGAACTCCTGGGCTCCAGGGACCCTCCATCTCAGCCTCCTGAGTTGCTAGGACTACAGGTGCCTGCCAACATGTCTGGCTAATCTTTTACATTTTTGTATGGATGCGGGGTGGGTCTCACTTTGTTGCCCAGGCTGATCTCAATCTCCTAGTTTTAAGCAGTCCTCCCACCCCAGCCTCCCAAAGTGATGGGATTACAGGCATGAGCCACCATGCCCAGCCAATAAAAAAGAAGCTTGCTTTACTTTCAATGAGGATACTTCTCCTGGAGACAGCACAGATGTCCTGGATCATCCATCACTTTTTAAGAATTACAAAATATGTAATCCCAGCACTTTGGGAGGCTGAGGCAGGTGGATCACGAGGTCAAGAGATCGAGACCATCCTGACCAACATGGTGAAACCCCGTCTCTACGAAAAATACAAAAAATAGCTGGGTGTGGTGGCAGGTGCCTGTAATTCCAGCTACTCGGGAGGCTGAGGCAGGAGAATCACTTGAACCCAGGAGGTGGAGGTTGCAGTGAGCTGAGATTGCTCCACTGCACTCCAGCCTGGAGACAGAGCAAAACTCCGTTTCAAAAAAGAAAAAAAAAAAGAATTACAAAATAGATATTAACGTGGATGCTTGCAACAGTATTCACAGCAGAGTGGGGAATGAAAAGAAGAACGGATTCAGAGATCCTCCTACGCACACTTCTGCGGGTACAGACCCAGGCTGCTCAATAAACAGGCACCCGCTCTGTCTAGATGAGAACCAACCCAATGACAGGCACAGTCCTACGTCCTTCCAGGGACACAAAACCCGTCATATCTCATAAAATCCCAGGATTGGAGAGCTAGAAGTGCCCTTACTCTTATCAATGTGAGGTTGCTGGCAAACCGAGCGGACCTCCTGCCCTCTAACCAAGGTGAAAATATGGGGGAAAAGGAAAAGCTGATGACAGAGACAGGCACTGTGACTGGGTCTCGGCACCAGCCGGCCCCTGTTGGTGTGGCCCCGAGGCCCTGAGGTGTCACCAGTGCAGTGTCTCCTGTCTCCGCACTTATCCACAGATTTCACTCGAGCCTGCGACAGCTGGCCGACAGCCTGCCCTGTGCCTTTCCATCAGCATGAAAGATCAGTGGTAAGAACAGAATCCTTGTCAGGGGCCCACCCTGAGGCCCAGAGCTTGAGGCTGTCATTCTGTGGGCTCACAGGCCTGCCTGAACAATTAGAGAGAAAGGAAACGGTGGCATCATGGACCACAGCAGCTCAGAGTGGGTGGTGCCCTTGCTGATGGTCAGGAGGAGGCCGGACAGGTCCAGTGAGCCTGGACCCTTCTAGCCCTTATGACTGACGTGACTGACAGAGGGGTGTCACCTAGCTGCCAGGGGACCGCATAAGTGATGCTTAACCTTTCTACTTGCTTTTTAACTAGTGGAGGGACCAGGTAACAAAATAGGACAGGTGGTGTCCTAAGAAACGACCCCAGACCTGGCCATGGGGCCACAGCATAGCTGGAGTGGAGCTTCAAGGTGGTGCAGTTGGCATTAGAGGCCTGCAAGCCACACCTGGTCCTTCCCGCCGCCTGCACCCGCCCCCCCACGACAGGCACACAGTGCCACCAGCCTGGGAGGACAAGGGCCCAGGAAGCCTGAGGAGCCCTGCTCACCGCACAGCCCAGGCCAGCGCCATCTCCCCGCAGGCACTGCCCGGGCCGCGTCCTCTGCGCTTGCTACAGTGGACGAGGAGCCCTCGAGTGTTACAGATGAGGAGGTCGGAGCATCGCTTTTCACCAAGCTCGCGGACCCAGGCCCTCCGGGACTACTTCAGTGGCCTAAAGACGAGCAGAGTGATCTCTGCAGGAGACAGAGGGAGAGCGGCACAGGAAGTCTCAGTTTTAACGAAGAATGCCGGGACTGGAAGCTGGTCCAGAGGTGCTGTGGTGCCGTGGAGGACGCTGTCGTTCCCAGGCTGCCGGCTGAGGCTACCAGGTGAAGCATCGCCATGTCTGTACTCAAACAATCGCATCAGAACATGCGTGGGTATAAATGGGTCCCTCCGTAACTGTATATACATGTGTACTGAAAAACCACAGGAAAAGCAAACATGGCCAAATGTTAACCGGCAAACATAATACTAATGTAAGTGGAAGAATTTGCCCTTTTTTTTTGGAAACACTTCTGACAACATGAAATGAATAAACCATTCTCAATCATTTTCTTCTTTTTTTGAGACAGAGTTTTGCTCGTTGCCCAGGCTGAAGTGCAGTGGGGCAACCTTGGCTCACTGCAACCTCTGCCTCCCAGGTTCAAATGATTCTCCTGTCTCAGCCTCCCAAGTAGCTGGGATCACAGGTGTGAGCCACCATGCCCAGCCCATTCTCAATGATTTTCTATAGAAAATACATTAAAAGCTAGTCTTGATCGTTTATCCTTCCACCAGAATTGAAGCTGCCCGGGTGTGGGCTTGAGACCTGGCTCTGCTTGGTGAAGCCTAGGCTCATCAGGCCTCACCTTACATCAGTGTGAGCCCCAGGTGGGAGCAGCCCTGGTGGCCCTGGGTGCGCGAGGGATTGATGGCTCCTTCCCCAGAGCAGGAGGGAGGGAAACACCGCGGTAGCCACGGTCAGTCATGCTTGGAAAGGTCAACCTTTGCTGGGGAGAATGGGGAGGGGGCCACAGAAGGCCTGGGGCCAGGCATCCTCATCTGAACATGTCAAGGTCAGCACTGGTTAACTCTGGCGCCCGAGCTCGCCTGGCCTGTGGGACACACAGGCCATTGTTTCCCCAAACACACGGCCCCCGAGCTCTGAACTCCCCCTGCATCCTAGGACATGTTAAACTGGCCCTGTTCTCTTTCATCATCTTACCACGCAAACATCATTTTTCATCATTGTCCAGCTCTATTCAAGATAAGTGTCACCTTCTGGTGAACTCGGCCTCTGTGCAGCCACGCCCCCCACCAGCTTCATCAGTGCAGCCTGTGATACAACAGTTAAGGCTGAGAACGAGAAAAGCTCGCCATGCCCTGGCCAGGGGTACTGTCACGAGAAAATCTAAGTTTTACAGCGCTTTGATACACTCTCTACACGCAAGCATCCACATGGACATCCGGAGTCCTCCAGGCTCAGGGAGGTAGAGCACGGCCCACACTCTTCAGTTCATGTTCAGTCTCCGCGATGGCAGCTCCCTGCTGTAGAACTGCCTTCCCTGGGAGGTGACTGAGTTGACTCTAGATGCTTCCACGGCCGGTCTGTGGCTGCTTTCACAGGGCCTCTCTCCACCCGCTGCACTCACCCGCTGCACTGTTCTGGGCCCCCTTCCTCTCACACCTCGTTCTCCTCAAGGGACTCCACATTCTGTTGGATCCCTAGGCTGCCACCCAGAGCTGGTGTCTATGTCCCCCAGCTCTGACTTCCACAGGTGCCACTAGCCCCAGAAAACGCAACGCGCCTCAGGTTGAAATCCTCTTCCTCTGAAATCTATGATCCTCAGCCCCCTTCTCACAGACATTCCAAGCCTCCACTGCCACCTCCACCCCCTCGTTTAAAGGCACCACATTCTGGCTGGGCACGGTGGCTCACACCTGTAATCCTAGCACTTTGGGAGGCCGAGGCGGGTGGATCACTTGAGACCAGGAGTTCGACACCAGCCTGACCAACAGGGTGAAACTCCGTCTCTACTAAAAATACAAAAATTAGCCCGGCGTGATGGTGCGTGCCTGTAATCCCAGTTACTTGGGAAGCTGAGGCAGGAGAATCGCTTGAACCTGGGAGGCAGAGGTGGCAGTGAGCAGAGATTGCACCACTCCATTCCAGCCTGGGCCACAGAGCAAGACTCCGTCCCAATAAAAATAAATAAATAAATAATATAATATAATACAAAAAACAATAATACAAAATAATAATAAAATAGAATTTCCACTCTTATTTGTGGAAAAGCAAGCTCATACAACCAGGTGTAAAACACATTCATTTAACTCATCAGAAATGCAAGGTGATTATTTGAGATTTATTTTATCTTTGCCCTCAAACTTCTGATTAGTGAAGGAAATGCAAGTCAATCCAGTCCCAATAAAATAATGAAATAAAATAATAATACAATAAACATTCCGATGAGCGTTCATTAGAAGCGTCTCTTGAAATCTCTATTCTCAGGCTGCCACCTTGGCCTGAGCGCTTCCCTCCTGGCCTGGGAGGTCCAAGAGCCACCGAACTGACCTCTTGTCACCAACATTCCCAAGTGCCGGACCAGCCACCATCTCTGTCCAGCAATGTTTTGACAACACAGTTTTGATTATGTAAACTCTTTGATGGTTTCCTTCTGTTGAGAAGGACTTCACTCCTCACTCCTTGATGGTCAGGTCTCAAGTTCATCTCCGGCCTCCGAGGTGCTTTATTGTGAGGCCACTGGAGGCGCCATCCCACGCCTACCGCACACAGAGGTCAGCTTTGCCCAGCGTGTGCCCTCAGCTCCTCCGGGAAGAGTCCCAATGACCCCGCCTCTGGAAAAGCCTTTCCCCATTGCTCTGTCTCTGCTCCAGCAGGAGGAGCCTGACTTCTGCACACTTGCACTCTGGGGCTTCTCAACTCTTCAGGCAGGGCGTCTACACCCCTGCTCGGAGCTTCACTCCATGGTGGCCCTGAGTGGGTTCCCAGTCAAATAAACCAATCACCACTCCTATTTGGGTCCTCCTTAAAAGAGGCCTTGAGCTGATGTAACTCAGAGGCCGCACCCACACATTCACTGCACAACAGTTTTTTCTTGTTTTGTTGAGACGGAGTCTCGCTCTGTCGCCCAGGCTGGAGTGCAGTGGTGTGATCTTGGCTCACTGTAAGCTCTGCCTCCTGGGTTCAAGAGATTCTCAT